TATTAGTGTCATTTAACTGGAAGAGAAAAGATGAACATGTTTAACGTATACTCATCTACAACAACATTCTAATTGGATGAAATGAAGGAAATTCAATCAGATTGCTTGTACGTTATTAAGAATACAATATTAGTTATAGGTATCTGTTCAAGTAAGAAATGAATAGCTTTGAGGGAGGCGAAATGGGTTGCTCCAAACATAGCCGAAAAATTTTCTATTTTGTAGAAAAACATCTTGAAGACTCTAAGATTGCAATATCTCGTGAGTTGGGCGTAACGATACGAGGCTAATTGAAAAAGTCGACTTTCTGTCCATTTTAGGAGAAAGTAAGTCAAAAGTAGTTTTTGCACAAGGTCCTTAGTCTCCACTTCAACAATGTTTTCTGAAGAGATTATATTCATAAAAAGATGTTCGTCGTACTCATCTTGATCGGATAAGTTATCTTCGGTTTAAGAAGGCCATCATAATTTTAGAGCTGTAGATTCAAAAAACGACCTAAAGTTGAAATTCAGTACCCTCTTTCCGTAGAATAAAAGGCCATAGTCTTCTACATGGAATTTCACATCACCCCTCCAAAGATCGTTGGAGGGTTGCGGGCTAATCTTTACATGAAAAACTAAGAATTTTGCAAAAACTTTTCTAGTATTCAAACAAGCGCTTTTAGCAACTAATCAAATTAGTTCATGAAAGGATATTTTAAAGAAGAACATGGATCACTACGTTAAATTATTCTCACATCGTACACAAAACCGAGCACCCCAGAAGTGACGAGCCGTATGGACGGGGAAGATTGACTATGAGCTTCTTCTTACTTGCTTTTAAATTTAGAAAAACTCGGTAGAAAATGGACGTCACTGTCAACATTATACAATTTTTCTATATATACATGTTCACTCAGACTTACGTCGCAATAGAGAACTTAACTGGTTCTACTCAACCTTTAATGATTAAATTGTATTCAGTCGAAGATCAAGGGACTCGGAATGATGAACGTTACTTGTGTTAACATGAAATAGATCTTTTTATCACAAAAGTTAGTGAGCCCCTAAGATATGTTATTTTTGAGAAAAGCAATGATATTGCGCTTTGTGGGACTAAAAATGACTGTTGTAAATTGTTTTCTGTTGAGTCACAGTATACTATAGTTGATATCTAACACATTTAATATTGTTTTAAGAATAATAATAATGTCCATAATATAATTAAGTATATTTCATTCTAAGATTCTTGAAAAAGTTTTTCAGTTATGAATGATGATGATAGTTTTGATGCATTTGCTGAAGGATTCACACAATTTAAGTTACCTTCTTCAATGACGAATAGCGATATGAAAACTGCTTCATTAAAATCTGATTTCATTCAGTCCTCATCAGCTACCATAACAACAACTACAAACTCTTCAGTTCACCAACCAATAGAAGAAAAAATCATTTCGAATATCATACTTAATGTACGATTAAAATTTGATTATAATCAATTAACAAAATTTGTTGAAGAATTAAAACAAAGGAATTCAAAAATAGTAGTAAATCAAAAAAGTTATTCCATATTTGAATTATATACACTCTACACAACAAGTGAACCAATTGATCTGACTAATCAAAAAATTCGTAAAACTTATCGTCCTAGTTTATTTATTCGAAAAGCAGATGCATTTGGTGCATGGAATTTCAATTTTCTATTGGGTCTATTTGATGTTGAATATGAGTGTCCTGATGAAAAGTAATAGAATTTTGTCATCTTTATAATAAGATGTCTTTTTATTTTATTTTATAGTAACAACGAATTTCCACCTGTATGGAAAACAACCTTTGACACAAATGTAGAAATAAATATAATTCATTTATCTAAACAAACTACAACAAAAGAAAGTAAATCGGATGAAAAATCAAATGAATCTGAAAATAAATCTAATGAACCTGCAACTACACTACTGGATATTCTAAAAGCTATTTGTCAAGAAAATAAATATGATGAAAATGATGCATTTAAATGGTTACAAAATTTGAAAGGTAAATAAAAACAAGGGACAACTATCGACAAGGTCATTTTTTTTTCTTCACAATATTTCTCAAAAGAATTTCATATTCAGAGTTAGCATTAAACTTTAAATAAAATGTGGTCGATTTTTCTGTAGAAATATAACTTTCATTTTTCACTGGTAAGGAGTCAAAGGACTAGTGGCCTACTGGTCTACTTTTTTTTGGACCTAGGTCTAGAATAGATGTGTGACAGCTCGCACACAAGTATCTGAGCGGGAGTAAACACCACTCTTTTGGGATGGGCAGAATTTGGGTGTAAGTGAGGATGACTATAGGGTGAATGTAGGTGTAGATCCGGGTGAGGAATGAGAAAAAACATCCACTCACACCCACAGTCTTTCGCCACATAGAGCCGTGAGCTGTCACACACCTAGTCTAGAACAACCAGCAGATCCGTAACTATGATCAAGAAAACCTTTACGTTCTAATTCTTTCAGCTCATACATCATTTGATTCACAAATGGATGTTGAGTAAAATTTTAAAAAGAATGAAATTTTCATCGAGAAAAATATATATTATTTTAGAGTGTTAATAGAAGATGGTTCTGTTTACCATCATGATAGAACCTAGTTACTATACTGCAAAGTTTGAAATACCTTCAGTTATCTACTAGTTTACTTTTGAAACCAGAAGCAAATGAAAAAGCTGGTTTATAGTCGAGTTTCGGATGGCTCCGATACTACATACTCAAAAAACGAGATTTTGAGGACACCTTGATCTGATATAGCTCGATAATAAAATCTCTAACCAATGAGTGGCACAAATAGATCGATGCAGTTTTTCACGCTCTTTCTGAATATGGCTTCAAAATTGCGAGGAAAAATGAAAAAAGTAATGGAATGATAACGTAGATGACAGTGAAGATATTTTGTTTATTCCACCAAGGTCGCTCAACCCGATCGGTGTCCTGTCGGAGAGTCACATTGAGATCAGTAGGCTTCGAATCGAATCGGATCCTATAGGAGATCCAATAGAATCCCAAGATCATAACCTAGCACTAATTAAATGGATGCTAGTAAAACTTGTAGTAATTAGGATTCAGCCAACGAAATTCAATGTACATGGCACACTATAAAAAATTTTTTCGCCATCTCTTTAGCCAAATATTCAAAGGCTGGTTCGAGTGTTGTTTTTCGAGGTAAGGCGCGCGTAATTCAAAAATCAAGTACTATTTTATTTTTAACTTCTTTATATATGATTCGATAGAGAATTTGAAGCTGATCACCAATGTCGCCTTTTTAGCCTTCCCAGTGCATAACTCGTTGTTTTTGAATTCCTCTCCATTGCTGAGAAATTTCACTTTTGTGTGTTTCGAAATTTATTGAGATTTTCACTAGAAAATGAAACTCAGCTGAAACAAGTCATTATCCTCTTCACCAAAGACAATCTCAAAACTCACTTCTATGAACTGGTTTAATCGAATACACAAGTGCATTGCTCCT